TAAATGCTTTGTTCTTTGTCTCAGTGTGTGTGTGTGTGTGTGTGTGTGTGTGTGTGTGTGTGTGTGTGTGTGTGTGTGTGTGTAAAAATTACATGACAGGCATTAAAAAATAATCTTTTTACTTTGGAACAATTGAAAGGTATTTTGTTCTCACACTGTAAAAAAATTGTTTTGTAAATAAAACAAAGATTATTGGAGTATATTTTACAAGAATTTCAGCCTTCTACAAAGTTTAATTCAATGTGTTACTTGTTGTTTTGCTTTGTAATATTTTGTGAAATTTACTAGCAATTTCTTAGTAAAAAAAAAATAGGTTCAAAGTAATTTTTCAGTGTATTTTCTAGCATTTTGTGTAACAAAAATGGTTCCTGAATCCCTTTTTCCTGTAATGAAGTGTTTTTTTCTAGTTTTATTATAGAACATAATAGAACATAATTATAGGCACAAATTAAATTTAAATATCTGATTTCTATACCTTAACCAACATAGCATCCCCCATTTAATTCAATGTCACTTTGTTTTAAATAGTAGCTTGACTGTAAATTAGGATTATAGCTTCCACTTTTGTGTGTGTGTGTGTGCGTGTGCATGTTTATGTGGTTTATGAGGACACAAATTTGTATAATAACATGGGTATGACATAGGTATTACAACGAGAAGGTGATTTATGAGGACATTTTCAGTGTCCCCGTAATTCAAAAGGCTTATAAATTATTCAGAATGAGTTTTTTTGAAAATCTAAAAATGCAGAAAGTTTCCTGTGAGGGGTAGGTTTAGGGGTAGGGTTGGTGTAGGGCAATAGAATATACGGTTTGTACAGTATAAAAACCATTACGCCTATGGAGAGTCCCCATAAACCATAAAAACAAACCTGTGTGTGTGTGTGTGTCTGTGTGTCTGTGTGTTTGTGGGAATGATACACTGAGATGAGCTTCATTCCTGTAAAATTCAGCCAGCCGAATGTACAATAATATCTGAGACAGGTCTCGTAATCCAGTGCTGTAAATAGACTTACAGTCCTGCTGTTATTGACCCGATATGAAGGACACCAGTTACACACACACAGCGAGTGTCTAGATCACGTCCCTCTAGATATTATTATCCCATCATAAAGAGAATCGTACAAGGAAGGAATGTGTCATGTTTATATGATAGAATGAGAGAACAAAAAAGAGTGTGTATATATGACTGTTTGCATATAATATTATGATTGACAAACTTCATACAGGTAATAATGTTGTAAACAGGGCCATCGCAAGCGGGGTGCGAGGCCCTCTGCAATTTGTGTGTGTGTGTGTGTGTGTGGGAGGGGGGGTTACTATAGTAACGAACGCAACTTTAACACGCATCTGATCGATTGTGATGCCGTGCTCACTGACATGCTTGCGCACGAATCACGGTCACGTACACGCTCATAAGAATTATAAGATCTACTGCATCAGCAGGTGTACGGCTGCACGTACTGTGAGTATCATGAGCGCTCAGACAGACCGGAGATTTGCCCCGCAAACATTTCAGCAGTTAATATAGGCCTGTGTGTCCCATATTTCTGTCGACTGAACCAGCCATGCCATTAATTATGAATTTATCAGTCTTTTGCATGCCAAAGTCAATTTCTGCATAGAAATATTACGCCAAATAGAAGCAGAAAATCGTGCTATACGCACTTTCATGAGATCGGGTTGAGTAGTTTGCATCACTATATAGTCTATTACTGTGAAATACGCTGAACATTTCTATCGTAAAACAGTTTTCTAATATAGTACTACTTACATCTTTCAACGAACTCTCGTTGCATTGTGACAGTAAGACTTCTTTGATTTGATTGGCCATCTCTTATCATTTTGACATTGACGAGCGCTGTTGGACCACTGAGGCAGACCATCCTAAAATTTTAACTTTTAAAACTTTTTGTCATCCTAACAACAAACAGCTTTACTCATTCTTATACACAGAGTCTTATACTGTCTATCAGCTATGACTATTTAATCTTTCAAAAGTCAAAATGGGTGGAAAAACAATAATAAAAATTAGACATAAACGACATAAAATGCAGGCCAGGAGTGAGACCCTCTAGAGGTGCGAGGCCCTGTGCGGTCGCACACTTGGCACAGCCCTTGCGACGGTACTGGTTGTAAATAATGTTCAGTTTCTTGCACAGACTGATTGTTTTGCTTCATAAGACCTTAATATGTCAACAAAAGCCACGGGTATCAATTTTTTTGTTTCCTGTATATTCTTTTTTTCACTTTCAAAGCATTTTTAAATAACCAAGGACCATGGTTTCAACTAAAAATCTAAAAAAAATAAATAAAAAAAACTAACAGCAAATTTTTGGGTGAACTGTCCCTTTTTAACTCTGCACTCTTAAAAACAAAGGTTCCAAAATCAACCATTTTTGGTTCTCCAAAGAACCTTTCAGTGTACTTTTTTTTCTTAGTATGAAGAAGCTCAAGAACCTTTTTCCACTAAATGGAAGCTTTTGTCCTATAAGGTTCCATGGCTGTTAAAGGCTCTTTCTACATCCATCAGTGCCAATTAAGAACCTTTATTTTTAAGAGTGTGCTGATGGTTGTGTAGCTTTTGTAGTTGATTCATCTGTACTGATATTTGTGTGGTTCATCACTGTTGATCTGATGTGTGTGTGTTTATTCTCAATGTTTAACTGACAGTGTACTCTATGTTTTATTTCAGTGTTTGTATGGCTGCTATGTCCACTCCTCCATCATTCCCACCTTCCACCGCCGCTGTTACTGGCTGCTACAGGTAAGAGTTCAGCTCCTTCCCTTACTATTTAACACTAAATGATGCTTCAGATGCAGGACTAACAAGAAACACAACTGAAAACATCTTTCATCACATCCTGTCTTCTTGAGCTCTCCCAGTCTATTAAAAGCATGAACAGTCCGACAGCGATGGCGGTAATTGAGGGTAATAAACACATTTGTCGGAATATATTAGCAGCCAGAGGTCGTCGTACAATCTAGTTGATCATTCATACTCCTAGATGATGATTTGGACCTGTTGTCATGCACAGTTCAGATGTCCTTTTTCTATTTGGCATTTTATAAGTTCGTTTGAGGTATTCACATACAGCCAAAATCGATGTGAACTGCTCTGAGACCCGTGAAACTAACCAAGTGTTGTCCCAAGACTGGCAAAAACTATAAGCGAGTGGGAAATGATGGTTTTTGCACCGCAAGCAGCATCAGTCGAGATGTGCAAGCTTTCATTTCTCACCCACATCATCTCAGCGGTGCGGGACACGGTTTCCAGCTGGCCATCAGACCGCTGATTCGGCACACTGCTAAATGGTGAATAGCCAACTAGTAGACCTCTGTTTGGGGGTCTATTTCACTAGTTGAAGGTACAATTAGTAGTTGTGCAGGTTGTGGCATGTGTACGACATTTGTGTGTGAGTTTGAGTATGTGGACATGTTTTTGTGTGAAGTTTTGCCTTCATTGTTGAGACCAAATGTCCCCTCATGGATAGTAAAACCTGAAATCATCTACACTGTGCAGAGCAGCAATGGCGCCCATGAGGAAACGACTTAATAAACATACTAAATAACATCTTCAAGGAAATATAAAAATGCAATGGGTTAGCTTTAGGTGCAGGGATAGAAAATATTATTAGCTGAGTATAAAAACAATCAATGAAAATCCCCACCATGATAGAAAAACGAGTGTGAGTGTGAGGGTTTATACTTTGGGGACGAAATTGCCTCCAGAAGTGAGATAAATCTGACAACTGAACTGTTCTTTGGGACTTTCAAGGAGAAACTATTCATAAAGTAAATATTATTATTTTTCTATTCTAAAAATGCAGAAAGTTTGCTTTTAGTTATTCCAAGAATGCTGATATAACAGTCCGATAGCACTAGGACTTTCACTTTTTGTTAGACACTTACTCACCTGATTCGTTCAAAATTACAGATTCATTTGGAAATGAAACAAGTTACTTTATGAGTGAGGCATTTGAATCACTCCTTCAAGCAGTTAGTTAAAAAAACTGGTTCATTCACTGGTTCATGCTTTTAGTTATTCCAAGAGTGCTGATATAACAGTTCGTTAGAACTGGGACTCTGTGAAAAGACATAGGGCCAGTTTTACTAAACAGGGCAAATTAGTGCGAGAGCGCAATTCCAAAACAGCACCGATGGGCATGGAAATTTCTGCGGGTGATTTACTAACAATGCGCAAATTAAAGAACACAGATGCAACATCTCATTTACATATCGACCAACACAATATACCAAGCACAGCGCAAATTAGACTAGTTGCAAATAAGGACTAAAGAAATAAAGAAGCCACAATACATTGAAAAGAACCGGAGGCCAAAAAATGCAAGGTTTGCAAGACTTTTTGATAGACCTGGTATTGCATGACTCCTAGTTGAGGGTTTGAAGTCATCTTTTATTTCCTGAAGCAAATTTTAAAATAACATGGCTTGGCAAACTATGTTTTATAGTAACTATATGTCATATGGATAATGTGTTCTTCTGGCATTCAAAATAAATGAATACTCTCTTCTACCACACGCTCTCTGTTCTCTGCGGTACCTCCTCCTAGCAACAATCATTTCAGCCATTTCAACCGCAAAATGGAAAGGAAAGGGAAACTCCTACAAATGCATATTCAATAAGGTCAGCTGCAAAAATAACTGTGTCCACGCCTTTTCAGCACTAATTCTTCACGGCACGTCTTTGGTAAAACCTGACAGTAATATTTTAACGCCACAAGACGGTTTGCGTTGGCACAAACTGTTAGTAAAACTGGCCCATAATGTCTGTCTGTTAATGGTGAGGATTTTTACAGTGACTCTTTTTATAAATCACAGCATTACAGCATTTAAGCATTAAATTAATGTCTTTCTGAGTGAGTAATTTGAATCACTTACTCTCTGTATTCGTTCAAATTTACAGATTCATTTGGAAATGAAACAAGTTAATTTACGAGTGAGGCATTTGAATCATTCATTCAACTAATTAGATGACTGGTTCATTCAGGATCTAAACACGTGGCTGACTTTATCAGTCATTTGAATCCTCCAGTTTGTTCAAGAATGCTGATTCATTCTGTAATGAAACAAGTGACTGTCTTTATGAGTGAGTCATTTGAATCATTCATTCAACCGATTTGTTTAAAATCACTTATTCGTTGAGTATTTAAACAAGTGGATGACTGTATTAGTCATTTGAATTATTCACTCAGCTGATTTGTTCAAAAATACCGATTCATTCTGTAACAAACAAGTGGATTCTTTACGAGTGCATGAATCATTCCCTCAACAATGTATTTAAAAAAAAAACTGATTCATTCAGTGATGAAACAAGTGGCTGACTTTGAGTCATTTGAATCACTCCTTCAACCAATTAGTTCAAAAACACTGATTCATTAAGTGACGAGTGAGTCATTTGAATCATTCATTCAGATGATTTGTTCAAACACACAAATTAATTCAATAACAAAGTAACAAAGCTTTCTGTATGAGTGAGTCATCAGAAATCAGAATGTGTTAGGATCAGTATAAGACATATTAATAAAATATATAGCATTACGCAATTTATAGTCACAAGTATAACCGAAAAATGTTTTGGATGAAAGACTGTTTATCTGTGTGAGATGAACAGATTGCACCTTGAAAATTACCTATGAAATATCTTTTACAAAAGTAGAACCCCTTCAAAAGTTATTTTATAATTCACACACACACACGCACACACACACAAAGTGTGAATTATAAAATGACTTTTGAAGGGGTTCTACTTTTACAAAAGTAGAACCCCTTCAAAAGTCATTTTATAATTCACACTTTGTGTGTGTGTGCGTGTGTGTGTGTGTGTGTGTGTGTGTGTGTGTGTGTGTGTGTGTTTACTCTAGTCTGAATGGCGGTGTAGTGAGTTGAGGGATGAAAACATAATGTTAAACCATAGAAGGAAAAGAGAAAGAAATCATGTGAAAAAATCGAGAGAACTCAGTGGTTATAAAACAAATCTAAGCTGTCGGATTTCTCACAGTTACAGAGGCTTGAGCTCAGCTGGGCAGGTAAGAATGATTGATTACAGAGAGAGCGAGTCCACCCACATAACACAGAGAGAGAGAGAGAGTAAACCTACCCATACACACTCACAATGCTTAAAACTTTCATCTTTACACCAGCACACCTGCCCAATCACAAGCAGATTATCATCAGCAGCGTTTGATTTATGAAGCAGCGCTTGCTACATATTAATGTTATAACGCAGGATGGTGTCTGCATACAAATAGAGTGCAACAGTGGGGCTCTGAGGTCAGAATCCCATGCATTTACTCCATAGAGAAATTGATTTTTTGTGATAATGTATAAACCCTTCTGCGCAGACCTGCTGTGAGCTCTGAGATTGTTAAGTGATGGTCTAAACTTCTGTAGACTTCTAAAAATCGTATTTAATAGTGAAGAGCTTTACCAATCAGAGAGAATTTGCTGTTACTATGGCAAAAGAGCAGCATTGTTAATGTAAATATATGTAAATGTCCTCTGTTATGATTTGATGTTTTCGAAAGATGTCTCTTATCACCAAAGCTAAGTATTTGATTAAAAATACAGTAAAAACTGTAATATTATGAAATATTATTACAATTGAAAGTATCTGTTTTCTATTTGAATATATTTTAAAATGTAATTTATTTCTGTTGAAAAGCTGAATTTTCAGCATCATTATTCCATATATGAATTATAAAACCAGACTTAAAATATAAAGATGTCAGTTGTGTTAGCAGTTAGCAGTCAACTAATTCAGATAAACGGGTTTAAAATGGATTCAGGAAGTGTCTTGCTGTGCTGCACATGTGAAGAGGAAGCTGAGGAGCGTGTGATCCAGTGTGTTCACGCTCAGAGATGCTCATTGATTTATGCTCCAGCAGAGCGATCAGACTCACAAGGTTACACAGAAGTGATTGGATCCCACCCAAGCTCTCAGAAAGCTCACACACGCAAACACACACACACAAACACACACACACACACACCGTTTGGCACTTTCAAACACACCTGTCGAGGTCAGTCTTTGTACTTTTGTTCACATTCGTCACTTAAAGATTTAGAAACTTGAAAGCCCAAGCGTTATCATGATATAGATGGTTTAACCTATGTATTATAGCTGGAAAAAAACAGAAGAACAGAAAAATCTGTTGGTAAATTTTTTTTTGAAATAATTAAATAAAAAGCACAAAAAAAACATTTTCTGTTATTAGCATAAAATTAAAATTTAAAAATTAAAAAAGAAAAACAGAAAAAGAAAAAAAACAATTATGTTGTTAAAAATATATTTAAATAAAAAATACTGAAACACTAAGTTTTAGAAACTTGAAAACCAATGGGACCATGCTAGATCAGATACAGATGATTTAACTTATATACACTGAACAAAATTATGAACGCAACACTTTTGTTTTTGTCCCCATTTTCCATGAGCTGAACTCAAAGATCTAAGACTTTTTCTATGTACTTCCTCTCTGTGCTCTTTTCGTTCTTCCTCACTACCTTTTTTTATTTCATGTCGTTTGACAGCCTGTTGAAATTGTGACCACATTCTTGTATTGCAGTTGACCCGTCCATTCACTTCCATTTCATGCTGAGTAAAGCGAAGCCATTTGCTGTTTCCGCCGGGCATTAGGGAGCGACGCGAGGCTCTGCTGGACACTTCACCACTGCACTCAGTACAGAGTTAACATTCACCTTCAGCTCCACAGCCGCATATGCAGCTTCATTCAGAGCATTTTCA